CTAACAACGTGGCTTTTGCGCATTCAAAGGGCTGCTTTTGCCTCGGGGCTTAGCAACGTACACATGGCAGACGTTGGACCGGGTTTCGCCTGAGCGCTCCCCCCTGCGCGGGCTGCTAGAGCGCTGCTTGCGCTGGTCAGGATGTGTCATCGCAGCTGCCTTTCTCAATGTTCTCACACGGTGCAATTCTCGCAACATTCTCGCAGTTCCCGCAGGATGTTCACAAGGTCCCTTGCGCCGAAAACTCGTTCCACAATTATCAATGCTGATACCGTCTGTCCAGCGCTCATGTGGCTGCCATCGCGCCCGGGTGTATGGCAGACAGGCATTTTGCGCCCCACGAGGCACTCGCGGATGGAGTCCCGGTGCTCTTCCTTAATGGGAAGTGGCGCACATCGATTTTACAATTTTCCCAGGATGCTAAAACAGGTCGCAGTTGATATTCGCAAGAAAGCGTCGGGACACAAACGAACTCGCGGGGATTACACATATGTATACTTAGAGATTATACAGAAGCGCACATGGAAAGACATGCACGTATACCAACAACTGTACACAAGAATGTATGTTTGCGGGCGTGGCCCAGGAGTTCATGAAATGACAATGTTGAAGGCGTGTGACCCATGTGTCTACGTGTGTAGTGCGGAAGTTGTGATGTGAGTTCGTTGTGTGGCGCATGTGTTGCAATATCGATGGTACGATATATGTGGTGTGAGGTATGTGATGTGAGTAATGATGTGCAATCTGGGTGGTGTGATGTATGTGATGCACGCTATGTGGTGCAAGGTACGTAGCGTAAGTGATGCTGTGTAGGCTCTGCGGTGCAAGCAGTGTGGTGCACGCTACGTTTTAAAAGCTACGTGGTGTGAACTATGTGGTGCAATATATGTGGAGTGAGCTATGTGGTTCAAGCTACGTGGTTCAAGCGACCTGTTGCCTATGAGGTGAAAGCTCAGTGCATAAACTGGCGTGCGCCCACATGGCGCACACGACCGTCCACGGGCGGCAACGTGGCAAAACCAAGCCACAGCTATCACACGAAACGCCCGCGGCCCGCGAGGCGCCTACGGGCCTCAACGTCGCGAAACTAGGGCACACTGGTCCAGCACACGAAGCGCCCACGAGGCGTCCACAGACGGCGATTGGCGGCAACGTTGCGAAACCTTGGCACACTCAGCCATATTCTTGAGAACCCATGCGTGCAAGTAGTGTTTGAGGGCTATTCCCCAACCAGCGTTTGCCCTTAAGAGTTCTTACTTTGGCTTCTTAAGGTACTTGCTTGGGTGTGCATGGTTCTCGGCTGGTGTCAAGATGGTGGGCGCTTGTGGGCGCCACGTGGGCGGCTCGTGTTGGACTGGTGTGCCGAGGTTTCGCCTGGTGCCCGCCCGTGGGCGCCTCGTGCGGCGGGTGAGGCAGCCGAGGTTTCGCCTGGGTGCCCGCCGGTGGGCGCCTCGTGGGCGCCCCGTGCGCTGGGTTGGTCGGCCGAGGTTTCGCCCGGTGCCCGCCAGTGTGCGCGTCGTGGGCGCCTCGTGTGCTAGGAGGCCGCACAGATTGCACGACAGCTTTTCAGAACGTAGCTTTCACCCTGTATCTTAAGAGAGTTTGCTCCCCGCAGCTTGCACTACACAGCTTCCACCGCAGGTATTTCACCGCGCAGTCTACACCACATATATTACACTATGTAGCGTTTATCTTGCTGCTGAAACCGCACAAGTTGCACCGCATAGCTTGCATCTCATTGCGTGCACCCCCTAGCTCACACATCCACAGTGCAATGAGTTACGTTTAGGGTCCACGCTAGCAAACAGATCGAAGTCGCCTACGACGAATCACCGCCGCCCCGTGCCTTTTGGAAGCGCCGACGTGGCCGAACGTTGCGACCACAGCTTGGACAAGCTATTGAAAGATGTGTCCGCACAGCCGTAGTGGAAGCCCTTCGGGGAACACGTGTTGGTAAAGCAGAAGGGAAGGCAAGGTCTCTTCGGGCTTTCCTGATGGTTCTCTCGGAGGCGTCGTGGGACAGTGGAGACTCCGTGGAGGCCTCTTGGGAGCCTCTTGGGGCAGTCTCTTTGTGGCATTAGGGGGGGCCTCTTTGGCCATCGTAGGGCGTTCCAGGCCCGTCTGACTCCGTCGGAAGCTGTCTTCGGGACCTCTCTGAACCGACTTGGTTTTTAGGGTGATTCAGGGCCGTTATGGAGGCTATCTTGGGCGTCTTGGAGGCCTCTTTGGCCGTCTTGGGGCCCTTATGGGACCGTCTTTCTTTGACCATCACGGTGCCATCTGGGAGGCCTTTTGGGCGATCTTGGGGCGATCTAAGGGGCCTCTTGGGCCGTCTGGAGGGCCGGAAAGAAACACATGCGAAACTCGGTCAAACACCCAAAGGACAATCCATGATGTCGGTCTCCTCGGTCCTTCCTGGAGGACCTTTTGGAGGCCGCTTGGAGGCTTCTTGGGCCCCTTCGGAGGCCTCTTGGGGGCCCCCTGGGACATCCTGAGGCCATCCTACGCCATCTGGGGTGCATCTTGGCTTGGACCGTATTGGAGACGTTGCGGCCACCTTGGGCTCTCTTTTGGAGCCATCGTGACTGTCTTGGAGGCCAGCTTGGCCGTCTTGATGCTATCCTGGACCACCTCAGGGCCGTCTGCAGCGGAACAGCCCTTGCCGACCGCGCCTGCCACGCAAGGCCGGCGGGATCGGCCGAGACCCCCTTCTGCGAGCTCTAGGCGAGCCAAAGCGCTATCAAAAGTTCGGCACGCAAGGCACCCCTTTGAGACATCAACAGGGGGCGGCGGATCCAAGACGCATGCGGCAAATCTCGAAGAAGAGAAAATGCCATAAACATGAACTGTTGGCGCTCCGCGCGAATTTCCTGGATCCGCGCTGGGCCCCCCTGGCGGCGGCCCCGGCGCCGCCCCTGGCGCGCTCCGCGCGCCAGGGAGAGGGGTCCAGCGCAAGTCCAAGAAATTCGCGCGGAGCGCCAAAAGTTTATGTTTATAGCGTTTGTTTGTTCTTCTTCCAAAATCACCGCCGCCCCCTGCCTTTTAGAGACGCCCCTACGGCCAAACGCCGGGCCGAAGTCAGGCCAAGCCATTTGACGATGTGTTTCTCCAGCCGTTGTAGGACCCGTGGAGGGAAGACAACTTTTTCCGCTGCGGCGCGGCAGGGGCAATCCGCCCGCGCGCTCGGTTTGCCAGGGGCGCTCAGCAGACGAATTGACCGGCTGCAAGAGGAAGACAGGGCGGGGGCGGCGGCGGAGGACAGGAGGGGGAGGACAGCACGCACAGCGGAAAGAATATTGGGATGAGCGTGCCGGGGCGGCCAGCCGGGGCCGAGGTTTCCTTGCAGTGGGTGCGGGACGGCCGTGGCAGCTCTTGGTAATGGTTTTTGGGATACGTCACCTGCTACCTATGCGTACTGATTGCCCTTGTAGAGCCGCACACTCAAGCCGTGGCAGGGCCTTCACCTGCGTCTTCTAGTACCGGTAGGAGTGGTCAGGCGCGGAGCCGCTGTAGTCGATGGCTCCAGTAGGTCTCGTCGCCGCGCGTGGGTCCTGCAGTCGCAGGCTCCACACAGATGACCATTGCGCGAGGCCGGCGGACACCGCACAAGGTCATCGGCTCTCGCTTGAGGCAAAATTGTTGTGGACCTTCCTCCTCCTCCTCCTCCTCCTCCTCCTCCTCCTCCTCCTCCTCCTCCTCCTACTCCTACTCCTACTCCTACTCCTACTCTTCCTCCCTGCGGGTTCTGCTCGTGCCGTTGTTTCTGCGACTCATCCTTCCTCCTCCTCCTCCTCCTCCTTGTCCTCCCTCCCTCCCTCCTCGCCAGAGATCCGATGTGTTGTTTTTTTCTAACACGTAGACCCCCCGGAAGTCCAGACCACTTCCCCGGGACCGGCTTTTCACCCCGAGCTGTTTCTGTGTGTTGGCGGGCTGGGCCCAGCGAGGGCCTCTGCTCGCCGACAGAAGACCTTCCGCGGCTATCCTTTCGCGACGCGAGGATGTTCGGGTCGTGTTGGCGGGCTGGGCCCAGCGAGGGCCTTTGCTCGCCGACAGAAGACCTTCCGCGGCTATCCTTTGGCGGCGCGAGGATGTGTGGGTTCCGAGTCCTGTTCGGGTCAGACCTCTGGTCTCCGGCGGCTGGTCGGGACGATCCGGGCACCCCGAGGACTTTCTCGGCGAGGCGCAATTGATGGGCATTCCGAGGCTGCAAAGCCGCCGAGAAACCACGGATATGACAGCAAAACCTCGAACCTCGAGCCCAAAAGCATCCCGAGGGTCCTCCTCCATCTCCTCCTCGTCCTCCTCCTCCTCCTGCACAACACACGTTGGACATGGCGAGTGCTGCGCTGGCAACCAGACTTCAATCCACGCTAACACGAATAGAGACAGCAAGGTGGCCAACACAAGCGTTGAGACGACGAAATCAACACCTACTTTACGCCAACGCAGACCACACCTCCACCGACAGCCCACAACAACCCATCCGAAATGACAGCGAGACGACATCATATGGTGGCGCACAGCCCAAGACACCGCCTTGTGGACAACGCTCGAGCGAGCACCAGTACACCGATCCCACGCGAGAAAGCATGTCAGACCGACACGACACGCGCCACGAGAAATCGACACGACACACGCGCCTACACCGACACGAAGGACCTCCTCCTCCTCCTCCTCCTCCTTCTCCTCCTCCTTCTCCTCCTCCCCCTCTCCTCCAAATTGGTGTTCTTTCTCGCATTGAGGTGTCCAAGCGCACCAGAGTCCAGAGGCCACGGCCTCACCCCTCCGGTCTGAGCTAGGACAGGGCGTTTGTCCGCAGTGGTGGTCGTGCGCTCGTTCCTTCAAGCTCCTTCAAGCTGCGGATCCTGTGCCTCTAGATGAAACGCGACGCACATGATTAAACATGAAAACAAACATACATGGATTAAGTGGTCGGTCTTTCGTTCCTCCTTCTCATCCTCCTCTTCTTCTTCTTCTTCTTCCAAACAGGGGGTCGGCAGGTAGCCCCGTGCCCGGCCACAGAGACTCCTGGCCCGCCTTCCCGAACGCGCTGAGCGGCTCCTGGAGTTCCTTCCACGACCTCGCGGCGGGCGACGGGCGCAACTGCGACCCCGCGGCGCCGGCGACCCCGCAGGCGGGGAGGAGGATTCAGTTAGAGGGGTTCAATGAGAAGCCGTCCACGCGGCACCGATCACAGGGGCCCAACATCATCGGCGAAAGTTGGTACCAACACCGACGTCCTTGAGCCCCCCGTGACCAGTCACTTACACTGGCGGTGCCGTGTCCTGCCCCGAGGAGGAGGAGGCCGAGGACGAGGAGGAGGAGGAGAGCTCTGTTAACGGCATTCGGTACCTCTTTCATCCGCTTTCGGTGACCTGCGCGTTCCTTCTTCCTCGTCCCTCAGCCTCCTCCCCCCTTCCTTCCTTCCTTACTTACTTCCTTCCTACCTTCATGTGTGCTAATGCTCCACAGAGTGACTGGCTGTCTGGCTGGTCGCCTGATTGGTCAACCATGCCCTGCACAGGGCCGAGCAGCTGACAGGCCTGCTCGCGTGGCTCGCTCTGGCCCTCCTGTCCTCAGCTACTGTTTCCGCATCCCGGTCAGCCGCTCCGGCCGCGCTGAGCGTCCGCAGCGCTGCGGCCAGAAGTTGCCTCCCGTTGCTTGCGGTTCTGCGCCTCCTTCTCCCCGCCTCTCGCATCTCCATCCTCGTCCACGGCGCCGTCGTCGTGCCCACTTGTCCTGTAGCAGCTCAAGGGGGCCCTGCATGTCTTCGGAGGTCTGGTTTGGGAGTGCAGTGGCGCGCCAGCGTGGGAGGAGGAGGGAGGAGTGGGAGGGGGAGAAGGAGGGAGAAGGAGGAGGAGGAGGGAGGAGGAGGGGGGAGGAGGAGTGGGAGGAGTGGGAGGGGGAGAAGGAGTGGGAGGAGGAGGAGGGAGGAGGCAGAGGGATGAGGAGAGAAGGGGAGGAGAGTGGGCCGCCCCAGGCGGTTGCCCTGTCCTCCGCGGACAAGAGCAGGCGCCGCCGCACCCTCGAGCGGGTCCCCCCCATCCTCGTCCTCTCCCTCCTCCCTCTCGGCCCTCCTTTTTGCTTTCGCTGTCAGCACCGGTGCCCGTGCTCGCTCCTCCGCTCCCTCCCCCCGCCCCTCCCCATGGCGAAAGAGCGAGGTCCGAAGTTCTCGGGCGTTCTCGTTGGTCTTCGGCGGTTGTCCAGCCTCGGGATGCTTCCCTACAGCTCTAACTACGCCTCGCCGAGAGTGTGTTCTTGGTGGGATGCCTGAAGCGTCTCGGACGGCCGCGGGAGGCCCGAGTTATGACAAGTCCAGGCGACGATCTGGACTTCCTCGTTCTCCTCCCGCCCTTCCCCCCCGCCCCTCTCGACTAAGAAAATACGGCGCAAAACCTACAGCCAGGACGCTGCAGCAAGGACCGCTTTGGGCTCGGGAAGGGTTCTGGTTTCCCGGCCCGCTCCTTAGGGCTTATGTCGTGGAACTTGTATTCTGGCCTAGACCGGCCGTGGCCAAAAAGGCCCCCTCATTCCTCGTTGCCGTTAACCGCAATCGGTCTTTAGACCCCCCCCAAGATTTGGAAACGTATTATTTTTCCGGCGACCATATTGACGGACTGGAGTCCCACCAATAGTGCCTCGCAGATTGCCGACGTCCCCGCCGCCCCCTCACTCTCATCCGCAATTGCCGGGTGCTACGTAATCATTTCTCCGCGGCACCCGCCGCAATACACCGACGGCTACGACGACGACAACGACGACGACTACGACTACGATAAAGCTAGCGACCTCCTGGGGTTACGCGGTCCTCATGGTAGTACGATGCCTGTCAAAACTGCTGGCGGCCTGCGAGGTCGGCGGTGGACACCCCTCCCCGGTGCGCCTCCATGCTCTTCTCTCCGCTCCGCGCGTCGCGCCGCGAGGGGGAGGCGGAGGAGGATAACGAAAAGGAGGAAGTAGAGGAGGAGGAGGAGGAGGAGGAGGAGGAAGAGGAGGACAGGAGGAGGAGGAGGAGGAGTCAAGCGACGAGGAGAAGGAGGAGGAGGAGGCGGAGAAGAGGAAGGACGGAATAATGAGGAAGAAAGGGAGGAGGAGAGCGAAAGGAACGATGACGAGGAGGAGGACAAGGAGGAGGAGGGAAGGGAAGAGGAGGACTTCTGGCCCACCACGGCGCCGCCCACGCTTCAGCGAAGGGGGCGGCAGCGTTCACGCTGAAGCGTGGTGGGCGGCGCGACACGCTGAAACGCTTCAGCGCGTGTCGCCGCCCACCGAGGAGCATCTTAGATCTTCTTCGAAAAAAATCGCACGAACTCGAGAAATACACGGTGAATGGACGTCCGAGCGATGGCAAGTGTTGCCAGGACCGCCGCCGAGGGCCCATCGAGGGGCGGCCCACCTCGGCGCCGTGGCACGCCTGAGCGCCGTCCCGCACTGCGCGACGCCTGGGCTCGCCACCGCCTTGCGCCCAGGGGTCGCCCCCCCCCCCCCCCCCCCCTCGCAGGCGATGTTTCTCCCTCAACCCCCGACTTTTCGACGAAAAGCGAAGCCGCTCAGAAAAGGTTGACAGCCTAGGATGCACCCCAAAGGTGCTTTTCGGACGCACCCCTATCGAGGACGGACGCCCTCCCATGGTATATCCCAGGGTTGGGCCCCAAAGCTCTGGCCCATTCGACAACCCCTCGAAGCCTGGAGTGGGGGTCGACATATCCCCTGTCCCCCCCCGCTGCGTTCTCGGCGGCGGTGGCCTCCGCCTCTCCTCTGAGCCTCCTCCTCAGCCGACGGGCTTCGTGCTTCCACGGCCTCCCCGCAGCCCGCGACAGAGAGCCCCGCGCTCGGCCGCCCGCGGCCGGCGTCTGCGCGGCCCCGCCGTGGCGAGCCGCCCCGGAGGCGGCGCAGACGCTCGGGCCGCTCGCCCACCCCATCCCGCCCGGTCGGAGGCTAAGAACCCCCCACCCTGCCAGGTCGATGGTCGGCGGCGGGCGAAGGGGAGGAGGGAGGAGGGAGGAGGGAGGAGGGAGGAGGAGGGAGGAGGAGGGAGGAGGGAGGAGGAGAGAGGAGGGGAGAGGAGGAGAGAGGAGGAGGAGGGAGGAGGAGGGAGGAGGAGGGAGGAGGAGGAGGAGGAGGAGGAGGAGGAGGAGGAGGAGGAGGAGGAGGGAGAAGGCCTCCTCAGAAGGTTCGGCGTTCCCCCGGCCTCGGAGAGGTGCTCCAGGCCGACCCTGGAGACACTTCTGAGAGTCCTCGCCGCCTTCTGTGAAGGCCTTGTCCTTCTCACTTCCCCCCCTCGCTCGCCGCTGGAGAAGGGCATAAGCATAATTTGTCGGAGGTTCGCGCGGATCTCTTGGACAGGCGCTGGGCCTCCTTGGTGGCCCCTCCTTGGCGCGCTCCGCGCACAGGGCGGGTGGTAGGGTCCAGCGCCGATCCCAGAAACCCGCGGGAAACCTCCGAAAATGTTCTGTTCACAGTCAAGCCGCGGAGTCAGGATGAGCGACTTTCCAAGGTCACCCTTGCATCCTTCCCTTCGGTCCATCCTTGGCCGCTCTCCCTGGCCGTGCCCCGCTTGCAAAGTGTCAGCATGGCCTTCCAAGGCCCTCGCATCCTCATCGTGCGTCCTTATTATGCGGGTTGACTGTATGCAGTTCGTTGTTCCTCTCACCTCGCCAAGCCGATTGGCCAGCTTCCGTTGCCCGATTCCCAACATGGTGCCCTTACCGCAGTCTTTGCGGGCCAGCGCCCGCCGGGCCTGTGCTTTGCCAAAGGGGCGACTCGCCGCCCTCCCCCTTCCTCCGCGGCCGCCCCTCCCCCCCATTTCTTCCACTCCTTGCGTGCGGGCCAATCTGCGACTCCGTAGCCCGACGTTGCTGCTCGCGCGAGCGGACTGCATCTGCTGCGGCGTGCGCTTCGCGCCACGGAGGGGAGGAGCGCAGGAAGGGAGGCAGCGCGCCCTCCTCGTCGCGCCACCAGGGGTGCCAGGGTGAGGCGGGCTGGGCGTGTCGCCGGGTGTTCCCGCAGCGCTTGTGATTCCGAGGCCTGGCATGCCCGAGCGCAACACGGACAAAGAGTGGGTCCGTTTCAAAAGTGCGGTTGTCGCCTCAACGCCGCACCGGTTCTGGGTGGCATCCCCTGAGATACGCGCGTGCGTGGAGACTCTCTTTCTCTCTTTCTCTCTCTCTCTCTCTCCCTCTCTCGTTCCCTCTATTTCTCTTTCTCTTTACTAATTTCTTTCTTCTTCTAGTGAAAAAATGAAGTCATATTGTATTAAGCGTATATATGTACTTGATATACCCCTCTGCTGTTTCCTCTCTTTCTATCTCCCTCTCTCTCCCTCTCTCGTGTCTTAGATCTCGGTTTGCTGTTCTCTCCCTCGCGTCTTCTCTCGGCTCGTATGCAACAAAGATGTGTGTTGACTGCGCATCTGAAAGTAGTCCTCTCTCTCTCTCTCTCCTTCTCCCCTCCTCTCCACTCTCCCTCTCTTCTCCTCTATCCCGCCCAATTCTCCGCCTCTTCTTAATTATTATTTACCCTCGGTCCCTACTCCGCCGCACTCCCTCCTCCCGCAGTCCTTATTCACTCCTCGTCGTCCTGCTGCCTGCGGCAAAACCCGCCGCTATGCCAGCCCAACATGTTCGGCTGCTGCTGCTCGAGGGGGCACGGGAGGCCACCGCGTGTGACACCTCGTGCCTCCAGGCGTGGGGATGCCTTGATGAGGACGATTGGGATTGTAAGCGTGATGGGGGTGATGGTGATGTTGTATGATGATGGTGACGATGGTGGTGATGATGATGATGAGGAGGAGGAGGAGGAGGACGAGGAAGACCGTCACGTGTGACACCTTTCGTCTTCACTATTTGAAGAGCTTTCCTAGAACTCGTTTTGGCCGTCTTGGGGCTGCCTTAGCCTCCTGTGGGGCAGTCTCATGTATCCCTTGGAGCCCTCTTGGGGCTCTCTTGGGCCTTCTTGGGGCTCTCTCGGCCGTATGGTGAGCATCTGGGGTCGTCATAGGGTTGCCTTTGCGTCGTCTTTGGCCGCCGAGGGGCCTTCTCAGGCCGTCGTGAGTCCCACGGGAGGCCCGGCTGGTCCGTATTGGGACCGTCTTGCATGCTTCTTGAGCCATCGTGGGGCCATCTTGCACCAATGCTGGCGCACTCGTGGGGGCCTCCTGGTCCATCTTGGGACCATCGTTGAGGCGTCTTGGGCCGTCTCGAGCTGACGGAAGCCCGAAAATGCGAGAATGCGAAGACCATTCGGACATTCACATCCATTATTTGTGGCCTCTTCAGACCCTGTTGGAGGTCCTCGCGTGTCCCTTCTGAACTCTCTTGGGGGCATCTTGGGCCGTCTTGAAGCCATAGTCGGCCGACTTAGGGGCAGTTTGGGAAGTCTTCGAGAAATTCTGGGCGATCGTGGTGTCTTTGGTTGCTTGTATGGGCCGTCTGGGGAGCTCAGGGCGCATATGCATTGTTTTTGACCAGGGCTCGCGGCCTCTGGGGCGCGGCCCCATAGTTTTTTACGAAGATCGCGGCCTCGGGAAGGAGGGCGATGCTTGCAGGGAGATGCTAATGTGTGGGGGGGCTGATCATGATACCGAAGCCCTACCAGACAACCCTTGGCAGTCTTCCACGCCACAACGTGCACATGGCACAGTGGCGATTGCTCCCTCCTGACCCCTCTTCCCATTTCCCGTGCGGCTTCTCGCCGTTATCGTCCTTCTCCTTTCGCCCTTTCGCCAAACCCATCATCCCCCCCCAGTGTCGCATCCTATTCCGGCCTGCCTGCGTCCGCACCTGCTGTTGTGCTATCAGGCCCCCCCCATTCGCGCCATCAGTTGTCGACTCGTCCCTCCTCCGCTGCTCGGCCTCTCTCAACTGTCATGCTTGCTCCCGCCCGTCAATCCTGCATGCTTGCATGCTTCCTGTTTCCTGCTTCGCCACGTCCCCCAGTCCCCCGCTAATGTCATATCTTGCCCCCGGGTCCCACTACCCGTCCTCACTCCAAAAAGGCATGTTTTCCTCTCTTCCCAAGGGTCTCGCTCAGACATCAAGATGCCATGTTTGATACGCCACCCCTGCTCCATCCCCGCCACATCACTTCCATCACCATGGATGTCATGATTTTCCTCCTCAGGCTGCAGAGCAGCGTGTCGAGGCTGCTCGAGCAGATTGAGGGGCTGGAGAAGGCGGTTGCGGGGGTCTCCCCCGCCCCCCTGCAGGGAGACGAGAGGGAGGAGGGCGGGCCTCTCTGGGGGGAGGAGGGTTCAGGTCCCAGAGAGGCCGACGAGGAGAGGAAGGAGTAAGAGGAGGAGGATGCGTTAGAACATGGCTTGATGACTAGGCGAGGAGTTTCGCATTCCATGTGTGTCAGCGCCGCTTGGCTCAGGTACTTAGCAGTGGAGCGTCTGCCGAGCCCCGCTCTTAAACCACATTGCCTGTCATCGTTCCCGTGCAAATCTTCCTTTATACCTTGCATGGTAGCGGAGCGAGGGCAATGGCAGCCGCTGCAACAGCAGCAACACCCGCTCACGCAGGAGATCCAGTCCAGGAGCGAAATCGCCCAAGGATCGAGACCAGTCGTGCAAATCAGACCCGGGGAAGTTCAGCGAGCTATGTGAAGCCGCATACTCTTTGGGGGGTTACAGTTATGTGAAGGTAGCGCTGAGGTTTACCCACGGGGGGGGTGATCGATTTCATCGAATGGCACACCGCAGCCACCACCGAAGAAAGTTACGGACTGTTAACGATGACCCCCAAATGAGCCCCCTTATCCGTAAGGGCTTCGCCCCATGCCGCCGGCCCCCTGTTTCGGAGAATGGGAGGTGCAAAAGCTAGATCATGAGGTCTGGGAGCCGCCGTGAAGCAGTGTCGGGACCTGTCTGTTTTTCGGCCCCTGACCCTACGGATCTGCGTGAGGGGTGCCACCGAATTTCAGAAACGTGGCACATCCCCTGTGTTTTTGGACCCTGACCCTACGGATCTGCCCGAGGTGTGCCGCCGAATGCCAGAAATGCGGCAAATCCCATGTGTTTGTGGGCCCTGACCCTGTGGATCCGCGTGGGAGGTGCCACCGAATTTTCGAAGTTTTGCAAATCCTATGTGTTTGTGGGCCCTGACCCCGCCGATTTGCATGAGTGGTGCCACCGAATTCCAGAAATGTAATCGATCCCATGTGTTTTCGGACCCTGGCCCCGCCGATCTGCGGGAGGGGTGCCACCGAATGCCAGCAGTGTGGCAAATCCCATGTGTTTTTGGACCCTGGCCCCGCCGATTTGCGTGAGGGGTGCCACCGAATGTAAGGAATGATGCAAATCCCATGTGTTTTTGGACCCTAACCCCGCCGATCTGCGTGAGGGGTGCTACCGAATGCCATACATGTGGCAAGTCCCATGTGCTTTTGGATCCTGACCCCGCCGATTTGCGTGATGGGGTGCCACCGAATGTCAGACATGTTGCACATCCCATGTGTTTTTGGACCCTGGCCCCGCCGATTTGCGTGATGTGGTGCCAACGAATGCCGGCAGTGTGGCAAATCCCATGTGTTTTTGGACCCTGACCCTATGGATCTGCGTGATGGGGTGTCAATCTTTACCCACCCCAGCAAGTCGAGAACAGGGGATTCTGGGGTGGCGGTCGCTGCCCTGCCTGCAGAGGCAGCCACCCGAGAGCGGGGGGTTGTCAAGTAGCGGCCTGTAGGCCAACGCGCGGCACGCTTGATTGGTTGAATCACACTGGGGTGGCACTGGTTGTTTCAATCGCTGTCAGTGCCCTGGGCCGAACATGATTAAACAAATCACATCGAGGGGCACTGACTGTTTCAATCACATTCAGGTCCAGGGCCCTGAGGCCGGGGGGGGGGGGACGCCACACCACCCCGCCCGAGTTTTTGTCTGTAATTTCTTTGTTTCCGCCCCCCTCCCCTAAAAACACATCAGGGCCCCTGAGGCCTGGGAGAGGGCAAAAAAACACGACGGACCACCCAACCTGACAGGTTTTTATTTGTTTCTCATATTTCTTTTGCCCCCCCATCAAAAAATGCCTTAGGGCCATGGCCCTGAATGTGATTGAAACAATCAGTGCGCTTCAATGTGGTTGTTTTAACATTCGTCCTCAATCACATTGTTGTACTCACATTGAGGCCCTGGGCCTAATGTGAGTACAACAATCACACTGAGGGGTACCAGTGCCAAGCATTGCCAAGGGGCCTTGCGGGAGAGGTCTCACAGACTGTGCGTCGAGGCCCCGCAGCCATTGGTGGAATGCTTCGGAGTCAGCTGGGCAAGCCTGTGGGAGAACCCCGTTGGATACCCTGAGCCTTTTGGGGGATGCTCCAGAGCTGAGAAATTTGCTGTCTTGGCATGGGCGATGCTTAGAATTGCTCGACATCGAGTGGTCGTGCTTAGCGTGGCTTGGCATTTGTTGGTCGTGCTTGGCATAGCTCGGTCGTGCTTAGTTCGATGGCCGTGCTTGGAGTTGCTTGGCATTGGCGGTCGGATGGGCATTGCTCGCCATTGTGTTTGGGTTGCTTGGCATTCCTGGGCATTGCGTGGTCGCGCCTTCCAGTACTTGGTCGTGCTCGGCACTGAATGGTCACGCTTGGCACTGCTTGGCGATGGTTGTACATGCCTGGGGCTGCTTTGCATTGGGTGGTCGTGCATGCCATTGTCTGGCACTCGTTGTCGTGCTTGGCATTGCCTGGCGATGCTTGGCATTGGTAAGCCGTCAGTGGCACTGCTTGGAATTGAACTGAGTGCCCGTGATTGGCATTTGTCGGTCGTGTTCGACATTGGTTGGCCGTGCTCGGCATTTCGTGTTCGTGCTTCGAATTGCTTGGCATGGCCTGTTCCTTCTCGGCACAGCTTGGCAATGTGTGGTCGTGCTTGGCGTTCCCTGGAATTGATTAGTCATGCTTGGCATTGCTTGGCAATGAGTGGTCGTCCTTGGCATTGCTTTGCATTGTTGGCAATGCTATGCGTCGCCTGGCGTTGATTGCCCTTTTTCCTGGTTGTGTTTGGCGTTGATCGGCGTTGCTTGTTCCGGCTTGACATCGCTTGGCAATGTGTGGTCCTGCTTTGCATTGCTTGGCGTTGCTTGCTCATGATTGGTATCGGTTGGCGTCGTGCGGTCGTACTTGGCGTAGCCTGGTATTGGGTGCTCGCGCATGGCATTGCTTGGCCGTGCCTGGCATTGCCCGGTCGAGCTCGGCGCTGCTTAGCTTTGGTTTGCCGTGCTTGGCATCAGGTGCCCCACCCCCAAGGCCTCTCGGATCAGCCTTTAGGGCCTCTCGGGGCAAGCAATGCCAAGCAATGGCAAGCACGACCAACCAATATACAGCAATGCCAAGCACGGGCGGCCAGTGGATCAACACTTGGGCGACTGGCCCACCAATGGAATTCCTTAGGGTGGCTGGCCCACACACATACATTCCTTGGAGTGGATGGGTTTACCAGCGTACCTCCCCTTGCCATAGGGGGGCGGACGGAGTCGCAGGAGCGGGTGGTCCGAACTGGACAGCCCCTGGAGTGGAGGGCCCGCCAGTGGATTTTCTGGTGTGGAGAATTATTATCTAGCATGGAGATTTCATTAGTGGCCCCCCCTTGGTGTGGCATGTCCACCAGTGCCCTCGCACAACGCTCGGTCTCCTTCCTGCTGCGCTGCTGCACAGGCACTGCGGCAGAGTTTGCCGCAGGCAGCTTGATGTGTGTGTATATATATATATATATGTATCGATGTATAACGGTGTGTGTGTGTGTGTGCGTGTGTGTGTGTGTGTGTGTGTGTGTGTGTGTGCGTTCGGCTGTCCCCTTCGCAGCACCCTGAGCACTGCCCGGTGGCCGAGGGGAACTCTCGGCCCCGCCCAGGGGCCCATGGGGTCACGCCATCAGCTCTGAGGCGTATCAGCGGCAAGCACGGCCAACCAATGCTACGCATGCCCAACCAATGCCAAGCATTGCAAGCACGACCAGCACTTGCCAACCACTAGAAACCAATAGCCATCAACGCCAGGCAGTGTCAGGCACGACCAAGCAATACCCAGCGATGCGAAGCGCGACCACGCACCGTCAAACAGTGGCAAGTCTGAAGCCTATGTATGTATGTATATGTATATGTATATGTATATGTATATGTATATGTATATGTTTATGCGTATGCATATATATACATACATGCACACGACCACGCATGTTTCCAGGTGCACACACAGACTATTCTCGGCGGCCCCCATTTCAGCACCCTGAACACGACCCGAAGGCCAAGGGGAAGGTGAGGGTTCCTTCAAAGGCCCATGGGGTCGCAGTCATCAGCCCTGTGGGTGTCTCAACGGAGAGCAACGCCAAGCAATGCCAAGCAATGCCATGCATGACCAACCAATGTCGATCAATGCGAGCACAATCAATTGCTGCCAATCAACACAACTCATGAACCATCAGCGCCAAGCAGCACCATGCACGACCAAGCAATGCCAAACGTTGCCAAGCACGACTACTCGTCGCCAATCAATGTTATGTGATACCAACCAATGCCACGCAATGGAACGCATTACCACTCATTGCCGAGCAAGACCGACCAACGTCAATCACGGCCGATGCCAAGCATGATCAACCAATGCCAAGCACGAGATATCAATGCCAGTCCGACGAGCACGCCCGATCAATGCCACGCACGGCCAAGCAACGCCAAGCACGACCAACCAATACCAGGCAATGTCAGGCACGGGCCACCAGTGGATCACCATTTGTGTGGCTGGCCCACCATTTTTTTTTGTTCCTGGGGGCCTGGTCCTCGCACGCACGCGCTCACTGTCTCTCGCGCACACGCGCGCGCACCGCCACCACCACCACCACCACCAGCGCCAGCACCACGAGCACCACCACCACCACCACCATCACACACTCGCGCACGCACACAAGCCCTGAGTGGAGGGTCTACAATTGGACGTCCTTGAAGTGGACGGCTGCGGGCCCGCCAGACAGTGGAGGGGCCAGCCATGGGCCGCCGTTGGGATGGGCGGACACCGGACGGACACCGTCAGTGGACCACCCCTGGGCGGCTGGCTTACCAATCGTGTTCCCCTGGGGTGACTGGCCCACCGGCGGCCCCCCCCCCCGCCCAACAGAAAAAAGCGTGCGCGGCGCTAAGGCGAGAATCACATTTTGGAGAGAATGTGCGCGGCGCTAAGCGAGAG